GGACGAGTCAGCCCATTATATTCAGTACTGGTGGAGCTGAATTTCTTTCTTGTCTCTCCAGATACATGGACTTAGAGGTTTAAAGGAGTCTGCCTAAGCATATAATCACTTTTAAACTTAAAAAAAAAAAAAATTATAGATCGGTTTGAGGAATGCCCCAGAAAAATTCCTATACCTACAAACATTTCATTGAGGGCAGTTGGTCACTGAAATCTTGAAGCCCCAGACTGACAACCCACTGTCTAAAGACATGTTATCTTCTCAGAAAGGAATTTGGTTTGATTATAGAAGCATTAAGATTTATCCACATATTTTTTTTAAAGGTATAAACTTTGGGACTCTAATTTCTCAAGTCAGATCCCTTCTTTTATGGTCTCTTGTGTCACCTGTAGGCTCTATAGGTGCCGAGCCCCACCAGAACTTTTTGAACATCTTAAGAATCTCCTTCAGCCCTAGCCGGTTTGCTCAGTGGTTAGAGCCTTGGCCAGCGATTTGATTCTGGCCAAGGACACATATCTCGGTTGCAGGCTCGATCCTGGCCCTGGTCTGGGCTCGGGCAGGAGGCAGCCCCTTGATGTGTCTCTCTCACACTGATGTTTCTTTCTTTCTTTCTCTCTCTCTCTCCCTTCCATACTCTCTTAAGAGCAATGGAAAAAATATCCTCCAGTGAGGATTAAAAAAAAAAAAAAAAAGAATCTCCTTCAGGACATCCCCCCATAAAACAAGACTGTCTCCTCACCGCAAAATAGACTTAGCGTGTTGTTTCATTCTTTGTTCTCTAAATAGCCCATAGAAGACAATACAGGTTTCTCCTCCCATGAGTTAAATCACTCTTTGCTTCAAAGAAATCAACAGGATACAAGCCAGAACCTGGCGGCAGAGGGAGAGAATTGGGACTGGGCCCTGCTCTGGTCTCCCTCCCCTGACCTGTCTCTGTGGTCGGCATCTCCACCCTGATACCTTGAGTTTCCTTAACCTTGAGTCAACCAGCATCTCCCCCCCAATCTTTTCAAATTGCTCCTAGGTGTCAGAGAATCCTCGGTGAAATAACTGACCTACCACTGCAACCTCATGCAAGCTAATTTCATTCTGCATTCATTTCAAAGTCTCCTCATTGTAGCTCTACCGTAATAGTTCCCTGACACTTACACCATCTCTTAGAGCAGCCCCGCCTGGCTGCCCTGCTCTCTTCTGGGCCTCAGGCAGCCGAGAGGCGAGGGAGTGGGGTTCAGAGTCAGGAAAGCGGGGTTCAGAGTCAGGAAAGCAGGGTTCACGTTCAGGATTCGCAGCTGCGAGCAGCCGTNTGGGCCTCAGGCAGCCGAGAGGCGAGGGAGTGGGGTTCAGAGTCAGGAAAGCGGGGTTCAGAGTCAGGAAAGCAGGGTTCACGTTCAGGATTCGCAGCTGCAAGCAGCCGCGGCTCTGAGTCAGGCACTTATCTCCTCTCGGAAGATCTGTCTCCTTATCTCCGCGGCGGGAACCAGTACAGTTGCTGTTCTTGACCAGCATGAGGATTAGACTTTTTCTTTTCTAAAAAGTGAAGATCTTTTAGTTTGTAAAAACATACTTGGCCCTACAGTTTTATTGTTTCCTTATTACCACCCTTTCTCCTTTCCCCCCATAATGGTGCTTTTGGTTTATGGTTTATACTTTTTCTTTTGCCCATTTGAACAACTCAGAATATTTCTTTTAAACCCTTTTTCAGGTTNTTTCTTTTAAACCCTTTTTCCGGTTGTCCTATTATCTCCAATCCTTAGAGCGCAAGTTCTTTCTCTCTCTCTCTCTTTTTTTGGTAACTGATGACTGTCCCTTTTTAAATATATATCTTTATTGACTTCAGAGAGGGAGAGAGAGAGAAACGTCAATGATGAGAGAGTCATTGATTGGCTGCCTCCTGCACGCCCTGACTGAGGATTGAATCCGNGGAGAGAGAGAGAAACGTCAATGATGAGAGAGTCATTGATTGGCTGCCTCCTGCACGCCCCTGACCGAGGATTGAACCCGCAACCCAGGCGTGCGCCCTGACCGGGAATCGAACCGCGATCTCCTGATAAATTGTTACCCATGCTCTGCTCAGAAATTCATAAAGCAGCATTGTTATACAAGTAATCTTTAGAAACTTCCACCTGCTGAATAGTTTCCACACATTGACTCTTGTTCAGTTCCTAGGATCCAGAGAACATACTGAATCCCTTTCCTACTGGTCAGTTTTTCAGATATGTGATTATATCATGATCCACACCTCTCTGCCCNAGAGAACATACTGAATCCCTTTCCTACTGGTCAGTTTTTCAGATATGTGACTATATCATGATCCACACCTCTCTGCTCCCCCCAAAGCTTTATTTCTCCAGAAGAGATATCTCCAATTCCTCCTAAGATGGGACAGGGCACTTCACCCTACAGGCAGCTCCTTTTTTGAATGGTCTCCAGTTTGCCAATTGCCTGAGATTGAATGCACACATAATACACACACAACTTTGGTTGCCTGGATGTGGACATGACACCTCTACTAATGACTGTGTGGCTGAGTGCAGGGTGGCCTGGAAATGGCCAAGGCTGAAGTTTGGAAACTGGTGACAATGCTGCGGCCGTTACCTCTGTCAGAAATGATGAGGAAAGGAGGTAAAGGTAGAGAATGGAGAAAGGAATTGGTGCCTGAGAGGTCCGGAGGGAAAATCATAAGACTTGGAGATTTGGGATGCGGGAAAGGGAAGGAGAGGGGAGGGAAGAGGCAGGGATGGCATCCCTGTTTAAGTAGTACATGCGGGGTAGGGGACATCTGGGTAGGGGGAAAGAGGGAGGGAGACAGATGGACTGAGAAGAGAGGAAGGGGGTGTTACCAGAAAGGGGACCTGGCCCTGAAGGGCTCTGCCTAGGGCCAGCTGGTAGTATGTGGGTTCTTGACTTTGTGCAGGAAAAATTTCACAACACAAGTCTCCAGGTGAATTTTAGAGGAGGTTTCTTAAAGCTAGAGACAGTGAAACAAGAAAGGGCTGAGGAAATGAGCCTAGGCTGGGCTGCTTTGGCTCACTAAGCAGTCAGAAAAAAGAGGGCCTGGGGGACAGGTTCAGGGGGTTTGTCTGGGATGAACGGCTGCTGCCCATTGCCGCCCAGGTTGCAAGCCTCTGGGGACCCTGAGTTTAGGAGATGCAGGCCTGTGGGGAAAGGGGGAGGAGGGAGGCAGAAGGCATGCGGTGCTCCTGGGAGGGAGAGCAAGAGCTGGAACTGCGTTTGCAGGGGTTTTTAAGGGCTGGGCATTTAGGGGAGGTCTTAGGGGGGATCTCAATAGAATATTCATCAGCTTTATGCTGATGTATGAAAATGAGGTTTATTCTCTTACCTTCATCTGTCCTTGGGTGTGGGTGGCAAATGGCACTAATTGGGTTTCTGCTACCTGTCTCCCTGAGTCGGTGATTTAAGCTATTTACCCTCTGGTTTGGGAGAAGCGCAAACAACTTGCTCTTGTGTCCCTGGTTTAGGGAAGACAGGATTTACTAAATGGCGACTAACTGCTTGGCATGTAGATTTTCTAGGTGGCTGTGAAGTGCCGTGTGACTACCGGCCTCAGTTTCCCTCTTCCGCTCGTCCTGGCTTCTCACCAGGTGTCTCCGCGGGAGGAGAGGCTGGCACCCCGCTGAACTCCAGCGCTGCACGGGGAGAAGCGGGAGGCGAGCGCCCAGGAACTGCAGAGGCCGTGAGAGCTGGAGAAGCAAGACGGAGCCCGGTCGGGGCATCAAAGGCCTCGGGGAGGCCGGCTGGGGTCCGAACGGCCACAGGCGCGAGCCGGCTAAGAGCCGGGGTCGTGGCAGAGTATTGCAGCTTTGGCTGTGCACCTGGGGCAGACCGGAAATTATCTTTGCAGCCGTCGCAGTGCGTGGTCCTGTGCCGGGAACCAACTAGAGCCTTAATAAACGCGTGCTCACCGAGAACCGCAGGAGCCCGCGAAGCTTGAATCAACTGCTGGA